GTGTGTGTGTGTGTGTGTGTGTGTGTGTGTGTGTGTGTGTGTGTGTGTGAGAGAGGCTGTGTGAGTTTCTGTGTTTCTGTGTACCATTTTTGTGCATATGTCTGAGGCCAGAGGATGTCAGATCCCCTGGAACTAGAGTTAGACTATTGTAAACATGATATTGTCAGTGCTAGGAACCAAACCCTGGGCATCTACAAAAACAGGGAAAGTCTTCTCTGCTCTCTGGTTCCTGTTCTGAATTTTGACTCTGCTCTGGCTTCTGCAGGTACCAAGCCAGCTGCCTCTGTGGACCCATGGGGAGTGCCTACCACAGCCAGCACGGAGTCTGTCCCCAAGAGCTCAGACCCCTGGGCTGCCTCACAACAGCCCACCTCCAGTGCTGGGAAAACAGCAGATGCCTGGGGAGCTGCCCAGCCCAGTTCTGCCTCAGGTGATCACTTTGCTTGGCCTGCTCCCTGCAGCTTTACCATTTCTCCCTTCTCCTGGTGCACCTGGTGCTCCCTTTTCCGGGTGCATGAGCTTGCTGACTGCCCATTTTGTGCACCTCCCAGATGGGAGCAGGTATCACAGGCCCTTTTGTATTCCCACACCCGAGAGTGGTGGTGCATTGGGCCTAAACAGAGTGCTGCACCTCCTTCTTGGGTGGCAGGCGGACTTCAGGACTTCTTGGGGGCACTTCCCACAGGTGCCATCTCCAGTGTCCAGACCCAACACATATTTCCTACACTTCAAGCCCTTACAGCATTTGGAGTAGGATGGTAGAGGCAGTGGTCGGCTCTCGTGTTTCCTGAGCCCACCTGTTGCCTACCTACCAACTGACTGAATATGGCCCCAAGTTTACGCTATGATGTGGAGCACTTGGGAGAAGCCCCTATGGCCAGTGTTAGCCCACTATCCCCATGCAGACTGGGTACCTGTTGTACTGGGGAATGGAAAGATGCCCTCAGTCACCCTCTTGTATGTCCCCTCAGGGTCCTTTGAGCTCTTCAGTAATTTCAATGGTACAATTAAAGATGACTTTTCTGAATTCGACAACCTTCGAACTTCAAAAAAAACAGGTAGGTGAAGATGCTTCTATATAACCTTTTGTGTATCTGACCACCTGGTTGATTTTAGAAGTAACATGCATGGGTGTGAGTGAGTGCATGTGTCCACGCGTGTGTTCGTATGTGTGTATGTGCGGATAGCTTTTGGGAAGTGGTTCTTTCCTATCATTTCCAAGTGAACTTCCAGCAAATTCTCCTGTTTCTGCTCTTGGAATGTTGGGTTTACAGCTATGAGCCACTGCCTTTTTTGGAAGGGGAAGGTGTGCATTCTGGTGCAGCAAACACTTTTATCTATTGAGATACCATGCTGGTCCAATAGTTTGTTTGCATCTTATTAATAAGAATTCAGAAAGAAAATTTAGAAAATGAAAGTAGAAAATAAATGTGAATAAGTGTACATCTATGCTTTGCTGTCAACCCCAAATAACATCTTAATGTTTTTGGAGGATTATGCTATGTAAACTTAATGTGAATCTTGCTTTTCTATTTACATATTTTTAAATTAAATTTATTTTATTTGTTCATTTATTTATTGTTTTTTTTTGTGTGTGTATGTATGTGTACTGTTTACAATAGTATACACAAGGGGTGAGAAGACAGCTTGCTTTGTCCCTGTCTTACAGCTGAGTCAGGGGCCTCAGTACCTCCCCAGGACAGCAGAACCACAAGCCCTGACGTCTTTGAGTCTCAATCCCTGACTTCTGCCTCAAATAAGCCTAGCAGTGCCCGAAAAACACCTGAGTCTTTCCTGGGCCCCAATGCAGCCTTGGTGAACTTGGACTCACTGGTGACCAAGCCTGCTCCACCAGCCCAGTCCCTCAATCCCTTTCTGGCACCAGGTAGGAATGTGCTTCATCAACCCCTGTACTCTCCAAAGCTGGCCTCTGACCCTTTCTCCCCTTTCAGGGACTGCTGGCCTATGGCTGGGAAGTGGCAGAGCCCTCAGGAACTCTATTACTGCCCATTGTCTCTAGGCCTGGGGAGAGAGGGGGGATGGTTGTAGATGCTGCTGTTTCAAAAAAGCCCTGGAGGGGAGCATGTTGTAGAAGCTGTCTGAAAACTGCCCCAAGCAGGGAAACTCGTACTAGTACCAGCTTTGGGTCTAGTGGAGGTGTTTGCTGCCCAGTGTCTATTACTTGTAAGAGAAGCAGCACCATGGCCCTTTAGCATGAGCCACCTCTGGAGGCTGAAGGGTCCTTGTAATAATGCCTGGCATAGGGTTCTACACAGCATGTGCCGAGTACTGCACTGGCCAGAGGACAGGCCCAGTCACTTGACCCAGTACTTGTGGTCTCCACAGCCTGGCTCTGCGTCTGACCAGCAATTCTCCAGCCCTTTTCTACCATTTTTACCCATTTCTACCCATGTGCATCACAGCTATAATGAGCTAAATAACCATTCATTCTTAAGATTTTCTCAGTCCCCTTTTTATCTCCAGGCTGTGACCCACTCACTCACCTTGCACATCCTCCTCCTCTTTCCACATCTCTTCATCTAGTATGTCCCCCTTTCCCTTGCTTTGCAAGGATTCTTTCAGACTTAGGCTTCTGAAGAGTAGAAATGTGTCTCTAACAATGACAGTCCTGACCTGGCTCTGTGTCTTGGGGATTAGAGGACTTTACTCTGTTCTTACAGATCCTGGCAGAGGAGGGTGATCTCTAGAAGCTGAAATTTGGGGCCTGTGGGGAGAAACAAGATCTGCAGAATTTCTAGGTTCTACCCCACCCTGAGTAGTAGAAGGCATGTTATCTCTAGAGCAAGGTTGCCTGTGGGTAGAGCTGGTCAGGACCTGGGTCCTCAGCTAGTCTAGTGCCCATTCTTGCCCAAGAGACTCTTATCCCTAGTGCCAGAGTACAAGCGCTGTCGGGGGTTCCAGCACTGTGGGAAGCCTTGCTTACAAACCTGTCATAGACTTGAGGTATCATGGCCTTCCTACAAACCTGTCATGGGACTTTAGGGTCGTGGCCAGATTGAGGTAGTTTTGGCAGATATCTGGGCCACATGGGTAGACCTGCATCTGCCGTTCCTGAGGAGTTTTCTTTGGTGAACCTGAGGTCACATCAGACCCCATAATGATCCTGGTAGAAATAAATCCCAGGAGAGTGGGTCAGGCAGAGTACAGCAGCTTCCTCTTTGTCGTGATGTCTCATGCTACCCCTTGATGAGCAGACCATGTTGTTGTGTGGGACCTAACAGGCTCAGAGACTGACCACCACAGTACACATACTCTAGAAAGACCCACCAGCTATTTTACCAACAGGTAGAAAAGCCTTTTAATTGAGGGAGGTTTTGAGGAAGCTGAGTGCCACTGACTTGTCAGCTGTAGCCTCTCAAGCCTTCATGGTGCCAGTTTGTACATTCTGAGACACTGCAAGGCCTTTTCCAGGCATCTGTAGCCACAGCTGGCAGACAGAATGAGGGAGCAGGACAGCTGACAAAAGCCTGGGTACCCACTTTTCAGAGGTGCTAGGATGTCCAAGCCAGTGTGCTTTTGGTTCTGCCTTGTTTAGCTCTATAGCCCTGTACAGGTCCCACACTCCTCACAGCCATAGTCTGGAGATGTTTGCATTGTCTCCTAGGGACTCTACTGTACAGAAACACAGCCCTGCCCTACAGATCAGTGTAGAATGCCAAATGTGGAGGCAGGAGTGGGGGTTTGTACACGTTTCCTGAAGGGATGGTGCCTTCCAGTGGCTCACTGTGTTCTTGCTCTTTTACCAGGTGCTGCTGCCCCAGCCCCTGTCAACCCCTTCCAGGTCAACCAGCCCCAGCCGCTGACACTGAACCAGCTTCGAGGGAGCCCTGTCCTGGGAAGCAGTGCATCCTTTGGGTCTGGTCCAGGGGTGGAGACTGTGGCCCCTATGACCTCAGTAGCCCCACAGTCAGCATTGGGGCCCAGTGGCTCCTCATTGACACCACTGGGCCCTACAGCAATGAACATGGTAGGCAGTGTGGGCATTCCCCCATCAGCAGCTCAGGCAACGGGCACAACAAACCCTTTCCTTCTCTAATGCCCAGGCTGGGACTTGCCTGAGTGAACACCCAGAGTGCCGAGCCCAAGGATGTCAAGTGGGGACTCTAATCTGTGTAGTGGCTGAGAATATGGTGGTAGGGGTGTTAGAGCTTTGGGTCCAGCTTCCTGGTGAAAGGGTGGTTGTTATAGTCCAGAACCTTCAGGCTGGGGTGCAGGTGGGTGACCCCACCGTCCTCACTGGGCCCCTGTGTCTCTTCCTAAGTGCTCAGCTCTAACCTTGCTCCACTGAGGTCTTGAAAGGAGGAGGTGTTATCAGTGTTGCCCAAGATTCTGGGATGCTGTAGCCCAGGACTTGGGACAGTCACATTGTGTGCGCCCCATCCCCAGCAATCTTCAGGGTGTGGGCAAGGTGAAGCTCTGGCCCCACTCGACACTGACCGTTGGGAAGTGGTTGTGCATATTTTATTTTCCTTTGGCTCATGTGAGTCCAAGGCAAACACTACTACCAGGGTGGAGCTTTAAGCTGACTGGAGCGCGACCCTGCCCCGGGCTCTGTGCTTGTGCACGTTTGCACATTTTGTTGAGTACAGTTTCATATTTGAGTTTGCAGAATTATCTAATAGTCTTTTTTTGGCTAATATTTTTATAACGTGGTTCTTATTTAACTGTCTAGTTTTGATAGAATTGACCAAGTCTGGCTGATTAAGGTCTTGGCATGTATTATTTTAGTGGTCTAATTTCTCTTATTTATGGTTATAACTGTAAGAAAACTTTAAAAGAAGAGATATTTGGATGACAAAAATATGCCTTATGGAAAACTAAGCAAATTCTTTATAGGAAAAAAAAAAACATCGAAATTAGATTACACAAAAAGAATTTTATTAAAACAAAACAAAAACTTCCAATAGTAACAAAAACTTGCAGCCTCCAGTTGCCTTTTTCCTTTCTTCAGTTCTTTTGATGAATTACCAAATCAACTGACTCATTGGCATTTTTGCCTAGATCTGAGAGGCTTTTTGCTACTAGTGTATTGACATCTTAATGTTAAAAGAAAAAACAACGCATGATTGTGACTTGCCAGTTTTTATCAACTAATTCCTCTCTTTGTACCTGGCGTGCAGGGATTGCCAGGGACTTCTGTTTACTGCAGACCAGAAGTGTGGCTGGCTGCCCAGTCGCCATGCTCAGGTTAATGAGATTGTGGGAAAATTGGGGGTGATGGTGCACTTCTGGGCCCATAGGTCACCAGGGATGGTCCCCTAGATGAGTCTTAATGAGATTGTGGGAAAATCGGGGGTGATGGTGCACTTCTGGGCCCATAGGTCACCAGGGATGGTCCCCTAGATGAGTCAGGACAGGGACCCTGATCTGTTTGCCTACCAGCTCCAACTCAGGCTGCTGACCAGGAAGTAACCACATCCTATTTTGGAGAAGAAAACATCCTCCCATGAAGTAGGTTTTTAACAGACGTGCACTGATACTACTCCCAACCTCTTGCTGTCCCCACTCCACTCACTGTTAAAGAAAAGTGTTAAATCCTGAACTAGAGACCACAGACTTGCTTTTCTTCAGAGAAAGGACTGCCCCTTCTTGGTCCTGGCAGTTTGTGTGGCTGGCCTTTCTGCCTTGTCTTGCAATATGGACTTCTAACCTTAAGCTCCAAGGGCATCCAGCCACCTGCCAGCCCCTCTGTGTCCAGAGAAAGTTTGGCCCTCAGCACCCACATGGTTGACTTGGTGGTTACTGTTTGAGTGAGACTGCACTCTAGACCTCCTGAATCTGAGAGCCCACATGCTGCTCCTAGGCCCCACAAGCCAATAGCCCTTCCTAACTACCTGTTCCTCCTAGAACCTGAGGCCTAGCAGTACGCTTGGGCCCTGCTCTTTAGGAAGGCTAATGACTGGGCATCAGAGAGGTGCAGGCACCACAAGACAGGGGAGCTGACACCGTTCTAGATTGCGCATTCTTCAGATTGTATGGGCCAGGGCCAGAACTGCCTTCTGGGGCCAGTGATTATGCTGCGAAGACAAGAGCCCTTCTGGCTGAGGCCCCATTCCAATAGCCACTAGGCTTCCTCTACCCACAGGCCATCCAGCGCATGTCCCAAGTACCTGCTGCACTGATCATGAAGCCACTGGCCACTGCCATGTGTGTTGCACACGTGCCACCATGCCCTTCCTGATGAACACCCTGAAGGAAGTCACCCAGCTGTTTCTCAGTCCCAGGGCTGGTGGTTGGTTTTAGATTTATGTTGACTGTTGATACTTATTTACTGTATAAATATAATTTATCATTTGTATCTTGATGTGGTTTTTGGCTGTGTCCTTTGCTGTCTTGTCTTTACCCTCCAGTGTGATGAAAGATGGCAGGGCTGGCTAGGGAAGCAGCTTGGTGTGCAGCAGGCCACCACCCTTCCCTAGTGCGTGAGCCTCAAGGACAGGCTCAGGTCTGCTTTTAGTGGACATTGCCATAGTCTGTCTGAAGGCTGCACTGGGCAAATGTTGACCCAGATCCATTGCCCAGGCTGTCAGTTCAGGGGCCAGTTTTCAGTGTGCTTTCATCAGGGTTATGAAACACCATGACCAAAAGCAACTTGAGGAGGAAAGGATTTATTTGGTTTATGCTTTTGTATCACTGTTCATCAATCACACACACACACACAGACACGATGGGGGCCCAGTTTTCTGTGTAGCCCTGGCTGTCCTGGAACTAACTTTGTAGATCAGGCTGGCCTCAAAAGAAATCAGTTGTGCCTGCCTCTGCCTCCCAAATGCTGGGATTATAGGCATGTGCCACATCTGGCATGGTTTAGCAGGAACCTCGAGGCAGGAGCTGAGGCAGAGGCCATAGAGTAGTACTGTATATTGGCTTGCTTAACCTGTTTTTTATAAAACCCAGGACTGTCAGCCCAGGGGTGACCAACAATGGGCTGGGCCCTCACTTAACTATCACTAATTAAGAAAATGCCCTACATGCTTGCGTGCAGCCCGATCTTAGGGAGGCATTTTCTCAGTTGAAGCTCCCTCCTCTCTATTGACTCTTAGCTTTGTGTTAAATTGACATAAAACCAGCCAGTACATTTTCTTTCACATGTCTGCCCCAGAAAAATTGTGTCCTGAAAAGCTTCAGTCTCTCAGATGGGTATATATCTCTGCGTTGCAAATAGTAGGACATAGGCTTGGTTAGCAGGTTACCAGTTACTGTTACAGGTAGTCCTCTGGGCACCCGGGTCTCCATTCAGTCCTGCTTCCTCAGAACAGAAGGTGGCATTGGTCCTTTCTGCGTTCAGCTCAGAGTCTAGGGTTTACGGAGGCAGGCTTCTCCAAGGCAGGCTCCCTGCATCTCATGATAGCCAGCTGTGCATCAAGGTGAATGACACTGCTGTAAGTGACAACACGAGGGCCCTGTGAGGCCTTCCAGCACAGGAAAAGGCCTGGGATGGCCTCAAGCTCTGTTCTGCAGGTGGCCTGTCCTTTGAGTAAGCAGCTGGGAGCCAGCTCTTTGCGTGAACATGGATATTGCCAGTCAGGACTTGTTCTGAGTGTCAAGCTCATGGATTCTGTGGGTTTTGTACTGGCTAATTTTGTGTCTACTTGACACAAGCTGGAGTCATTGGGAGATGAAGGAGCCTCAGTTGAGAAAATGCCTTTATAGGACTGGACTTTAGGCAAGCCTGTAAGGCATTTTCTTACCTACTAATCAGTGGGGGTGGGCCCAGCCCATTGTGGATGGTGCCACCGTGCTGGTGGTTGTGGGTGAAACAAAAAAAGCAGGCTGAGCCGTCATGGCCACTGCCTCAAGGTTCCTGCCCTGCTTGAGTTCTTGGCCCAGACTTCTTTTGGTGATGGTGTGTGATGTGGAATTGTAAAACAATAACCTCCCTTCCCCCCCAAGTCTGTTTTTGGTCAGGATGTTTATTCTAGCAATAGAAATCCTGACAGGAGGCTAATTCCCTCAGAACCATAGCAGGCTTTTAGCTCTTTGCTTCTGTTTTCCATGGACACATAACTCTTTTTTTTTTTTTTTCCTTTTGTTTTTTTTTTTTTTTTTTAGTTTGGTTGGTTGGTTCTGTTTGAGACAGGGTTTCTCTGTGTTACAGCCCTGGCTGTCCTGGAACTCACTGTAGACCAGGCTGTAGATCCGCCTGCCTCTGCGTGTTAGGATTAAAGGCATTTGCCACCATGCCTGGCTCATCATTTGTTCTGTACTAAAAGACTAGGTTTTTAATTTTCAGTCTTACAGTTTAGTTTTAGAGTCCTCTTACCTAATCTTTTTAAAAATTATTTTTGTGTATGGGTGCTTTGAAAGTATGTCTACACTGTGTGCGCTTGTCTACAGCCCTTGGAGGCCAGAAAATGACATTGCATCCCCTCAGATTAGAGTTACTTCAGCTATGAATTACTCTGTGGTTTCTAGGAATTGAATCCTGCTGTAGAGGGCAGCGAGTGCTCTGTGCTGAGCTCTCTCTCCAGTTCTTTCCCAATCTTATGATGCTAATGTTTTTTAGCTTTCTTTGTTGTTGTTCCTTTTTGTTTTTGAAGACTGGCCTGTCCCCCCCTCCCCAACTTTGTTTTTCTGGCACATTCTACTGTCCTCCCCCAGAACCGTTGGTGCAACCACAGAACCTGCCTTGAGCTTTGCCAGTGGCTCTTTGCTGTTAGTATGTGTTCTGCACTCTTCCTGCCTAGAACCTACCTGGTGGGGAGACTGTGCCATATGTATACGATGGCTTAGTGGATTTTTTCTGGGGTGTGTGTGTTTGTTTTGTTTTTCCCTTCCAAGACAGGCTTTCTCTGTGTAGCTGTCCTAGAACTCACTTTGTAGACCAGGCTGGCCTTGAACTCAGATATTTGCCTGCCTCTGCCTCCCAAGTGCTGGGATTAAAGGTGTGTGCCACCATTGCCTGTCTTAAATGTGTAGCCCAGGCTGGCCTTGAATTTGTAATCCTCCTGCCTCTGCCTCCTTCAGCAGATCCTACCTGGGTAAGCGATCCCAACAGGCACCTTCTGGTTTTGTCATTCATTGTAGGGGTTTTCTTTTTCTTTTTTTTCTCCAGAGCTGAGGACTGAACCCAGGGCCTTGCACTTGCTAGGCAAGCACTCTACCACTGAGCTAAATCCCCAACCCCACCTTCTGGTTTTAATCACAGCATTAACTCATTCCTTGAAACAGTTTTCTGTGTCAAGAGTTCATGCAGGAATAAGTCTGCTACTCCCTTCTGTTCAGGACAGAACATAATAAAATTCCCCCACAAAATGTCTAGCAGGGGTGTCCTTGCAGTGCCCTTCTGGCTGGAATCTGACATCTGACTTCTCTCACCATGCTGCTGCCTTCAGTGTAGGCCTCCTCAGGCTTCATGGACAAGAGCAAGGGCCACTCTGGAGGTTTAAGGGGTCAGCCTTCCTATGCGATGAAACACCTTTCGTCATTTTGTAACTGTACCAAGAGGCCTAGGAGATGTAGTCTAATGGTTTGTCCAGGAAAAAGTGAATAGTCTGGTAGATGTCACCTGTGTGACAGTAGGTGAAAGATAAACCTGGGTGTCATGTGCCTAATGGTCACATACCTAGTAACCACCCACATTCTAGGCATGCTCCAGCCATTGGCCTCCAGTGTTACTGTATGGTTTCTCACCCTGACTGGCAAGAGGCTTTTAGGTGACAGTACCTTTCTGTGCCTTGACTAGGGTTGAAACTCTAGGTGCAGTGCTGATCTGTATGCACGTGTTGCTTGCAAATATTCACTCGAAAGACTAATAACTAATACAGAGCTCTGGTGAATGATGCGCATGCTGCACTATATAGCAGGTGATACGTGAAGCCCAGGGTGAACTGAAGTAGAAAAGTGGACCAATGTGAAAATGCAAATAACAGCTGCTGTCCTTTGGTATCCTAGGTGGTTAGAACCCTACTGGGACACCAAAATGTGAGGTCACTCCAACCCCTGTGCAGGCTGTGGTGTTTGCATAGTGCTCACCTGTACCACCTGTGTTTGAAGTCACCTCTAGATGACTAGCAATTCCAAACAGTGAAAATGGTACATGGTTGTTATGATCAAGAATGGAGCCTGCGTATCTGTAATGTTTGGTTTGTGGCCCTGGAACCTTGGATGTGGAACCTGCAAACAGACTGCAGGAAAATGTCCACAGACTGTTGATGGTGTTATTTACTGTAAAGTCACTTCAACTTTTCTGTGCTTAAACAGCTTCACAGTGTTGGAGAAAGGGACCTTTGCATATAAGAGGGCAGCCCATCGTGTCAAAACTTTTGGCAGATGAGTCCATAGTGGCTAGGGCCAGAGATGGCCTGGAAGGGGGCAGAGATTCTGAAGTGGGAATGGCCACTTGATACGATTGTTGGGCCGGAGACCTGCAGTGGAATGAGGTGAGATGCAGGGGGCATATGAGGGGCTCCTGACCCAAGAGCTTAGTGAAGGCTGAAACCAATGACCCTGAGGAAAAAAAGAAGGCACTGCTCCTTGTGAGTGTGATGTCCAGGGGGAAGGGCAGGGATTTTTCTGGGCATGTTCTTTGAACGGTAGCATCTCCAGGGTAAGAGGAGGCACTTGAGGTTGGAGGTATAGTTGTGCTGATGTCTAGAGGTAGGGTGGCCATGAGGGGAGTGGCCTGAGGAACACACAGGCATTTTGGGCACAGTGAGGTGCTGGGGTTTGATGGTAAACTAAAAGATGACTGTGCCAGGTGAGATTCTGCTGAGTTAGTATGCAGAAAGGAAGAGCATGCAGAAGGTGGAGCGTGTAAGATGGCGCTGATGAGTGCTAATGTGCAGAAAGGACACTGACTGCAGGAGATCTGAGATGGCAAAAGGAAGGCCATATGGGGGGGGGGGTTAGTGGTCTAAGGAAGGGACCTGTGGGTGATGCAGTGTACATCACTGCCAGGGTAGAGGCTGTGGAAGAGGCTTTCCACAAGAACAGCTGGAGGAGACAGCACCACGATCAAGCTCTTTGGTGAGGCCAGCAATTGTGGTTTGATGGCTTAGGCCTCAGGAAACTGGGGTGGAAGGGAAAGAGGCTGTCTGCAAGTGTCAAGAGGCAACTATCTGAAAAGCTGATGTGGGCCATGTCAGAGGAAAGGATGGTGCTGTATAGAAAGAAGCTTGCCATTCAGGAATTTTGCTGACATCAGAGGTTCTGAAAGCTCAGCTAGGGGAGGTAGATGAGGGAGCTTGGCCCAGATGATCACTCAGACGTCCCAATGACTCAGACATTGTGTGGTAGTGGGGCTGGTTTGAAGGCCTTGGTCAGCTTCTCTTCTGGGTAAAGAAGGCTAAATGCAGCTGCCTCGGTACATGCTGGGTTGTGTGCCAACACCAACACGTGCATGCATGGAGAAACTGAGGCCCAGTTGTTCTCCCACAGACGCCAGGGTGCTGGACTGTGGGGCTTGCTTGTCAGCCTCCTGCCTGGGATGGTTCTTGCACTGTTCTCAGGCTCTTGGCAGCACAGCAGAGGTGTGACAGGAGTTTCGGATAGGGATGGAAGGTGGAAGGCAGGTGCCCCTCAGGGCACTTGTGGTTGGACAGTCATAGTGTCAGCCATGGAACAAATGACTTTAACCCTTCCTGCTGCTGCGGAAGAAAAGTGTTAAAGATGGGTGCTGAAGCACTGAAAGGGTTTCAGCTCTGAGCAAGTGAGTTAGCAATCCTGGGGAGGCCTCCACTCCAGCATGGCACCTACTGCGGTATGTCGTGAGAGGCTGAGACCCAGGCGCTAATGAAGAAAGTAAGACATCCAGGCCTCAGAATCTCTGGGTCGGGGGAGGGGTGGGATATGGTGCTTTATTATATACAACTTTAGCTTCCCTACCTCCCAGCCAGGTTACACCCGAGGTTGATACTGTCCTTGGTTGTGTGTGGGCCGTGGGGCACAGTGGTGGGCAGAAGGCCGGATACTTTCATTGTAGGTTGCCCTGGGGCAGACTGGGACCCAGGGCTCCTTGTGTATCCATAGGCCCAGTGTCATAGCCCAGTTTCTTCATATCCTTGGTCACCACATTGAAGAGAAGGGTGACAAATCCCTGAGAGCGCACACGGGTCACTGGGGACAGAAGGTGAGCATTAGTTGCACATGGCAAACCACCTGCTGAAGCCCTCGTATTGGTGATGGTCTAGAAATTTCTTTGGGTGGCTTGTATATTACCAGGTCCCAGTTTTCTGGAAGTTCCCTGGCCTTCACCCACCTGTTTCCTGGGGGTTGGGTGCCCACCTCACCCCTTCATTATGGTTGGGAGAATCAGGCTTTACCTTCCCGGCCTTCACCCTGGGCCACCACTTTGGGGTCCGTGTACTCAGGCCGCCGTCCCATGAACCAGCTGAGGACATAGGAAAATACCAGTGAGAAGCACTCGGGCCTTGCTGGCTTCAGACACTAAACAAAGAGTGGTCCTGGTTTGAACACTCCCCACAACCTCTCCTCTAGGTATTAGGACAACCTTCTACTTATTTGATAGGCCAGGTAGGGGTGCCAGGAGATGTCCCATGTTTGCGTCTGTGGCCAACAGTTCTAGTAGTACTCTCCCAGGTGCCCTAAGCAGTGTCTACCCTATGTAGCCTCATGGGTTTATACAAAGGATGAATGCTGAAGATCTGGAGCAGGGAGTACAACCCAAACCCATGGAAACCTCCAAAAGAAATCAGTGGGTGAGGAGAGGCAAAACAAGATAGTGTGGCCCTTAGCCACTCAGGAGAGAATCCAATCCAAAGATGGGCCAGATCTAGCTCCCCAAGCTTGACGACCTTGTGTGGGATCCAGAACAAGCCATACTCCATCACTTAACCTTTTGGTCTACTGTAAAAGGCAATAGCACCTACCTCATGAGACTATGAAGCAAAGGCACCCTGTGTGGCCCTGGAAGTCCAGGGAACTGACGTACAAACCTGGAAGCGTTTCCTACAGTGTCTCGTGACTCACATTAGCCACAGTCCTACTGCACTACGACTGGGCTCTAAGACATGGGCAGGATGTTCAAGCCCAGCACCTTGCTGGAAACCACAGTCCTGGAGCATACACAGGATTAGCCTAAGCACAGCAGCCAGGACCAACTCAGGCTTTGTGGAATAATCCACCAGCATTCGTTTGCCTGCGGAGGTGGGGCTTTCTGGTAACCTCGACTACACATCTAGCACCTACAGCTATGCTGGACCCCTGGCCTCCCAGGCTAGACCTCAGCAGCCCTGTTAGACTGGGGGGACGGCAGTGAAGAGGAGAACCAGCTGTTTAGACAACCTAAGGTGGGGTTAGAGAAGCCAGGGTTCCTACATCTGCGGATTCCAGAAGGGACTGGGTGGGTGGGTGTACCTTTTTATGTTTCCCCTTCATGGAGCAAAGCTTTAACTACATTCACCTTAGTACTATGATGAGTCTCAGAGAAACCGCTGGCACGAAGGCACACCCCACTCTTACCATGAGACAAAGCAGAACCTAGTGGGCCCAAAATCCAAGGCCAGGCAAATGGGAAGCAAAGGAGGGAAGAGGCCACTGCCATCCTGGCTCAAGTGCCTCCAAAATGCAGAGGGTGTGCCAAGGCAGCTTCCCGCAGCGACACCGCCCTAAGGGTTTTGTAAAGACTAGATTGGAGAGGCTGCAGCAGGCCGAGTAATGACTCTAGAAACACCGGGGCAAGGACTGAAGACACTGGGAAGGTGACCGAAGAGGGTCTGTGTGCTTTCCTAAGAATGCTGCAAGGTGGAAATGATCCTGGGTTAATCTACATCATAGGTAAAGACAGTGCTGCCAGGATGGCCAAGCCGTAAGTCCTTCCTCCTGCAGTCCAGAGCTTTTCTTCAGCCCTCTCAAAACAGGTCCGGCTCCGTTCTTCTAAGGCTACTGGACTGTCTAAGCCTATTGACATGCCCTCATCACTACAACAGTCCCAAGGGTTGGTGTCTCTTCCAGGGCTAAGAACCCTCCCTCTTGAGCTCCACCTAGAGGGTATCTTAGCAGCAGTGGGCATCAATCTCAGGGCTGAAGCCAATTCCCTTCCCTCTAAGACTCCAGATGGCCTCCTGGGCTGGGCTGCCCCCTTACCCATCAGGACTCTGATCAGGTCCCTCTTGCCTGATAATAGCTTGCAGGAGGGCTGCTCACTGGCTGCTGCCTGGAACTCAGTGGCCCTTCACTTTCCTCTTATCCTACTCAAGCTTCTGGGGAGCAGAGAAGAGCATGCAGCAGAGCTGGGCTAGCAGGTCCTTCAAACTCCTCCTTGAATGTGGCAAAGGGTAGAAGGCCTTTACACTGGGGCATCTCCAGCACTTGTTTTGTTGTCTGGGACCTCATTGCCATGTCCTGGCCCTACCTGCCTCCCAGCACACCCCACTCCCAATCCCTTCATAGTTGCTGGCTGCAGCATCCTCCTAGCTGCTGCTCCTAACTCTTAAGTCTTCCTCAGGTCCTACAAGAGCTTGCAGGGCCCTGTGTGTTGACATGCTTTCTCATGGCTGCTGCTTGACTCCGCCCTTGTTCCTACCCAAAGTGGCCTGCGGTGCCCATGCATGAAGGAGGTTAGCAGATGTGTCATAAACTAGTGGCACTGTGACTGGTCTTAAGGAGTTGGCCTTATGCTGCTGCATCCTGATATGCAGCACTTCTATGTGACAAGGGCAGGAAACAGAAGAAAGCCTCAGCCTTAAGCCACCAGTGGCCTGAGGAAGCCCAAGGACTCAGCAGTGGCCCGTGTGCATCCCTATCTCCATCTGTCTCTAGGAACAGCCGCCTGAAGACCTGTGAGATTTCCAGGTCTCGGGTGGAAGGTGCCTGCCATCTAGTCACCCATTAGATGAAGAGCAAGCAGGAGGCCTACCTTGTAAACTTCTGCAGTGCAGACGTAGACTCCGGCACAAACATGGGGATGGTCCTTTTGTGCCTGAAACCATGTTTTCACACAGAGATGCGCAGGAACAGATTACCATGTATGGCTGCACACAATGCTTTGTTCTTTCTATACCCGCTACCATCCCTCTTCAGCAGCGCGTGTCCACCACCCATGTGTCTCCTCCAAAGTGTAGGCCTATACCCAGGTCACCCAGGCCCCTACACACATCCTGCCCAAGTCCAAGGAAGAGCAGTGGCCAGAAAGCCTGCTGTCTAAAAGTGCTGTTCCCAAGGTTTGCCTGTCAGCAAGGGACAGATGGGTGATCAGGAACCTACCGTCCAGGAGAGAAGGGCACGTGCACAGCTCCATAGCCTCGGACCACATCATTCCCAAACACGTCAGGGCCATACACGCTGAGCACAATCTGTGGCCCTTGGGAAGGACAAGGTTGGCATGTAGGGAAAACGTGGACGGGGTGCAGTAAATGGTATGCCTAGCTGAGGTCTGGGGCGGGACTCACAAATCCTAGGACTCCTGTCCACACCCACGGCTTCTGTCCCCTGCTGCTTTCTGTGTCTCTGCTGGTGCCCTGGGAATGCTCCCCATACCTCTGCTCACAGCTGGGAAGATAGAGCCAAAACATTTAGTAGACACACGAGGAGGCCCTGTGCCAACCCTGAGCCCCTGCTTTCTTCCTTTCTGAAGAACGGTGGTCTTTACAAGCTGTGACGTCCTTTGGAAAATTGGGGTAATTCTCAACATTTCCATATACTTCCTGTACACATCTAGCCAGGCCTGCTAGGTGCCTCCACCTCCTTGTCTTCCCCTCTAGCTGTAGCAGACAGATCTACTAGTGTCAGCTACTCCAGATGACAGGTGGGGCCTGGAAGCTGGCTCTGTGGTTACTGCTAAACGGCTGCAGACATGTTTTTTCTCTCAGCTTTCTTGTGTCTAATCACCTTGGGATGGTAACAGACATAGGAGGTGTTCAGTGAAGGCCAAATCTGTGACCTTCCCTCTCCTCTGCCACCAAAAGTAACCGGGGAGTTACTCAGATAGTTCCTTATAGTGGTTTGTTCATTCTGAATGCTAAGCAGCTGACCACTATAGTATCCTGCAGCTGTTAGTGATCATGGGTACATGGGCTGTTCCTCCTGAGAACTGTTGCAGTGAATTCTTGTCACACTTCTGGACCTATCTCTGAGTACTGATCTCTGTTGGGTATATGCTCAGGAAAGGACTCACACAGGCAGACAGGTCTCTGTTCAGTTCTAGTTTTACACTGCACCCTCAGTGAGTGTTCTCTGAACTGCCGTCACAGGCCTGACAGATCAGCCTTAACTTGGCTGGTCAGCCTCCATTGCTTTGCTAGCTTTGCGCGGGCTCAGGCTTAGACGGGTGGCTGTCAGATGAGGGGAGAGCTTTGCCCAGAACATGAAAAAAGGCTCAGAAGATGGCTCCGAGTGACCGGGACAGAATGAGCAGGGGCTGGAGCTGACCTGAGCACTAGACAGTGAGAAGTTGAGTGACTTGGGGTCAGACCTTCCAGAGGTCCTGAGTTCAATTCCCAGCAACCATCTATAATGAGATCTGGTGCCCTCTCCTGGCGTTCAGGTGTATGTTCAGGCCGAACATTGTATACATAATAAAAAAAAAAAAAAAAAGCTAGGGCACAAACTCAAGACACTGGCAGTGGTCACCTAAAAGGAGAGTGGTGGGAGGTGTGGCAGAGGATCCCCCCTTCCATCATGGCCCACAGACTCACAGCCATAGGGGTTGGTACTCTTAAAGGTGACGTCGATGGGGAAGTTCCACACCAGTGCTTGCCGTACATCTTGGCTCTTGGATGCTATCTGGGAGATCCCTTCCTCCAGACCCTGTGTGATTGACAGTTACCTGGTCTGAGTTCCAGGCTCTCAGGCCTCTTCCATTTACGTGGGCAGAGTGGGACGACAATTTCAGCTCTTCCTGTGTCTCTCATTCCCACCCTTCCCTTAGGTATTTACCCAAAAATGCCGTGGTCAAGACTCCACCGTCCCGCTAGCTCCTGATCCACTGCCCCTTTCATTCCACCCCCTCTGGTCTGGTTCTACCAGACCAGAGTGTTGGTGCATTGGTCTTCTCTACAAGAACATGTGCTCCACAAAGACGGGACTTCGGTCAGGTATTGGTCACTCCCAAAAGACTCAGTAGTAGTCTTTAAGTTACAGATGGTCATGAGCCACCATGTGGGTACTGGGAATCAAACTGGGGTCCTCTGCAAGAGTGTGCGCTCTTAACTGCTCATTCTTTTCTGTAGTCCCCAGCTCTGACCTCCATAGCCACTTACATTCATAGCCATATATAGATAAACATACACATAATTTTAAATATAATCTCTAATATTGAAGTTTTTTTAAAATTTAGGTATAAGAAAAAAGAAATGTGGTACAAATGATAAAACTCAGGCTCAAAGAAGTTGGGCTTCTACTTTGTTTTCTTTGTCTGGGTCTTATATATGTAGCCCAGGTTGACCCTGAGTTCCCAGAGATGCTCCTGCCTCAGTCTTGCTGGATTACAGCCTACGCTACCACAATTGGCTCCACTTTTTAAACTGTTGTGAGGGTTAAGTGAGCGCTGTGCAAATAAAGCATGGCGTAGTGGTAGTCTTCGCCACAGCCCCTTCCTGTAGTGAAAGACTGCTCTCAAAACCTTGAGGAAGATCCTTCATTTTGTCCTGGCTTCCGGTGTTCTCTGCTGTCTGGGGTGTCCACCACCTCAGGTGGTGGTTCTCTGGGCCTGCCTTCCTAGGCTGCCACCAGGCACAGACTGCAAGGGTACATTAGTGAACCCAGTAGTGGATGTGTTCCTAGGAGCAAACTCATGTTTGAGTCACCTCTGACCTCAGCATTTACCTCTTGGGTATGAAATAAGAGGGTATGAGAGACACTTTAGGAATCACTAAAGCTCTACATGGGGCGGGGGAGGGCGCCCATGAGTCCAACTCACCGCTGTTGGGGCCCAGTCCTGGCCATACACAAAGCAGTACTTGCAGTAGAGGTCGTCGAACTCTGGAAACTGAAAGGAAAGTACACAGGGCTCTGTTTAGAAAGTGCAAGCTGAGGCCACACATTAGTGGGGCAGGTGCAGTGGGCAGGCATTATGAATCCTGCACCTGGGATGCAGGATGTGGCTGGGCATGGATTTCAGCAGGGGTGGGAGTTAGTCCCAGACTGCCAAGTCCCCTAACGTAGGCTTCTTTGTCAGTCAGCTTTCTGTCTGTCTTTTCCAGCCCATCATCTTACAGGTCCTTGCCCATCTTTCAGGGGTGTTTTTCACTCCTTAGCTGGCTTCACAATCATTGCTTGGCTCCCTACATCCTCTTTATTTCTCCTTCTGGGCATCCCTCATAAACAACCCTCGTAAACTGAGGAAGGAACAAGTTTCATGTCTCTGTGTGTCTTCAGGGCTGGGTACAAATTAAATCTACAGGAATCACTCTGACAAGACACTCAGGAAGCAATAGGGCCAAAGAGCATGCCTGGGACTGAGGTGTGGGGGAAGGGAAGGTCCAGAGCAGAAACTGGAGGAGGTGTACAGTACTCAGCCCAGCTAGACATTCTCTTATTTGATAAAGGAAAACGGGAGGACGCAGTACCTAATGAATCAAGAAGGCAGGAACCGAGCTTCGGGTTTGGCAGAACTTAAATTGGCTGAGCCAAACCTCGGAATAAGTAGGAATAAATGAGCATTTTTCAACAAGCAGCCCAGAAGTACAATGTGGCAAAGCTCTGTCGGATAGCGGAATCCCGCCCTGACCACCGCCTTCTGGTAAATTTTCCTAGCTGTTAAGTGGGTCAACCGAGCCTTCCCTCCCATTAGTCCCATCCCATCACTAAAACCAAGTAAACAAGCTGAAGGCCAGAGTGTGACTTTGGTACCAGGTCAACGTCTCGAAGTCTGTTCGCACGCCTGTTTGTCCGGACCAGCAACCTGGCGCCAAATCTCAAATGCTGGTTCTCCTTTCCAACTGCTTGAGCTCAGAACAATGGCTTGGCTCTCTAGAAGCTGAAGGGAGAGCTCGGGGAGGGGAACGGGCTGTCCCCGAGTGGGGTCCATGGTGCTCACCTGGGCGCTCTCCACCTGCCCGTTGACCATGAGCAGAAAAACGCTGGGGCTCGCTGCAGCCATCGCACGTCTGGCCCCGGAGAGCGGCGCAGGCTGCGCGCCGTGGCCAGGGGGCTCCTGGTTGCCTTGGAAACGGATGGCGAGTCATCTGGGACAAATTTCTCAGCGGTGGCGATTTCGCTCAAGAACGAGTGCGCAGGCGTCGACGAATTCTCGCCGCCCAAGGGGACTGTCGTCTGTTTCCATCGGGCAGAGCCAAACCCTTCAGGCCCGGTCCTCAGACCCGCGGGGACTGTGATTGCACTCGCCTGCCCGCGCTTGGGCTCGCAGGCCGGAGCGCTGGGTCAGGTGAGAAGCGGAAGCGGACTCAGGCCCGCGGAAAGTCACGTGTTAGAGTAACCTCTCTCCAGGAGGTGTCGCTGTGGCCACGCGCGGCGGCGCCGCCACAGGCGCCACAGCTGGAGGGCTGTGACGGTACACAGTGGCCCAGGGGGATCACCCAGCGCCCAGCCCCTGGGTGTGCCCTTCAGGCCTTTGAGGCTGTCGTCCTCGAAACCCCAAGAATCCACCGGTCCAAGCCCCGGCTCCTGCATGGGAGGAGGCCTCCTGAGGCCCACCGGAGGACAGCAACTACTCACCATTTTTGGAGAACCACTGGCAGCTCAGGGATGTCAGAGCTCGGTTCCGAGCCACCAGGATTCTCCTCGGTAGACGCGGCTGTGAGCACTTGGATCCAACCACACTTACTCTGTTGTTATCCAGTCCAAGGTGGCTTGACGCCTCCAGATCCTCAGCTCAACTCTGGGGGCCATCAGTGCCTAGACCTCATTGCCGGCCCATGGTAAACACGTGGGGACTACTTCTTGAATGAATATAGTTGAATACATCTCCGTTTTCTGGAGAAAAAGGTTGAAATTCAGACCTGGAGGGTAATTTGGCTATATTCATTGCAATGGTTTACCTTGTGAATCAGGCTTCACAGGCAGAACTTCACAAGGAAACATTAGAGACCGCATTAACGACCGGAGAGCCTGGAAACAAATGCATGGAGAGGTGGGAGAGGTGTGCACTTTCGGGAGCTCAGCCTGCGGTAGGGACCCCAGCTTGGAAGTCAGTCGGGGGGCTCCCATAGGGAAGGTGTGTGGTGACAGCCTCCCAGGTGGGCCGGGGAAATTCAGCTTAGAGCCAAGAGTCACGCAAGCCGAGGCTCTGGGCGCCTCTCCCCCTAGCGGGCGGCTGCCACCTGCTGGTCTCAACTGGAAGAGTTGGAAAGTGACAGGTTACTGACTGAGCCATGGTCAGAGAAAGAGGCATTCTCAGGCTGCAAATTATTCATTAGGTTAAGCTTTTTCTGTCCTAAACTAATAGGCTGAGAAATTTGGAAAGGGCACTGGGCTGGCTAGTTTCATGTCAACTTGGCACAAGCTATAGTTATCTGAGGAGGAGGGTCAAGACGGAGAAAATGCCTCCATAAGACAAGCCTGTTGAACATTTTTTTTTAAGATTTATTTATTATGTACACAATATTCTTTCTGCATGTACATCTGCACGCCAGAAGAGGGCGCCAGATCTCCTTACAGATGGTTGTAAGCCACCATGTGGTTGCTGGGAATTGAACTCAGGACCTCTGGAAGAACAGACAGTGCTCTTAACCTCTGAGCCATCTCTCCAGCCCCCGAACATTTTCTTAATTAGTGATTGATAGGGGAGGGCCAAGCCCATTATGGGTGGTTCCATCCCCGGGATGGTGGTCCTGGATTCTATAAGAAAGCAAACTGAGCAAGACTTGAGGAGCAAGACAGTAAGCAGCATCCTCCATGGCCTCTGCATCAGCTCCTGCCTCCAGGTTCCTGCTCTGCTTGAGTTCCTGTCCTGACTTCCTTCAATGAAGAGTGATGTGGAAGTGTGAGCTGAAGAAACCTTTTCATCTCCAACTTGCGTTTTGGTTACGGTGTTTCTTCACAGCAACAGTAACTCTGACCAGGACAGGGGCCATGGAGTAGGGACTCCAGTACTGGTTGACCTTGCCCCACCAATGGGGTGGGGCACGAGAAAGGGCAGGAATTTCTTATGCTCAGGGATTTTACAAAACAGCTGCCTTCTACCAAATCAGCACACCAGCCATTTTTGCCTTTCCTCTCTGCTGGTATCCCTTTGTGCAGAATATTAAAGGTTGTTTTAGTTTCACTGAATTTGTTGGACTTATGGGAACATGGGTGAGAATGTGGGTATACCAAAACAGCTGGACCACTGTGAGGTTCCAGACCATCACGAATGATGCCCTTGTGGAAGCTATGATGGAGAGCTTCACTGTAGTTTGTCTTTGATATACACTCCCATGTTCCTCAAGATGGCTTGTAGCTGGAGATGGGGCAGGAGAAAGAGAAAGCCGGAATCCCAGGTGGTGCGTGGTGATTCTCTTCCCCTCCTTTGGAACTGTGGACAGTTCTGCTATTGTTCTGCTTTTTTCAATGTTTTGTCTACTGGGCCAAGGTTATCTCAACTTCGAGAGGATGGGGTGGCCATATTGTGGGAGAAAGAAACCATACTACAGCAGGCCAAGTGACACGATTCTGACGTCTGCTCCCAAGAAGGCGCTGGCTTTTGTGATGACAGAGGTAGCTGTCATCTCCTTGCATCTCTCTCTGTCAGAAGCATGAATGTGACGGCTGGAAGGCAGAAGCCATGGGTTCAGGAAGGCAGAAGCAAAGGAGGATGACAGCCAAGTGGGAGGAAAGCCGTAGCCCCTGACAAGCTCTCCTGAGAGCATTAGATTTCTGAGGCATGGTAAAGAGACCAGATTCTGACCTCCACAGTTGGGATTGGGTGCCTGCAAGGGGAACAGGGTGCCTGAGGCCCTTTATAAGGGGCTAGGTTGAGGAGCTTGGGAATGAGGAAATTATTACGGTGGTAGGGAGCTGCCTTTGGGTCTGCAGTCTCTCCTTTCCAAAATTGTTTGCCCAAGGCAAGACAGACCATCTTTGTGAGCCAGGCTGTCTCAAAAGACATTCCTTTCTGGGCTGACTGATAATGATTGAACAAGGTCATTGGAATCTCACAGGATTGTGTTTTACAGCTGAGGGACTTTATCAGAGCAACTAGGCCAATGAAGTCCTTCACTTTTTAAAAAAAAAAAAGATTTCCATTAAAATGAATTGTTTTTATGTATGTGTGCAGGCATATGCACACCACATGGGCAAATCAGGGAACAACTCATGGAAATTGGTTCTTTCTTGTCACCTCATGGGATCTGAGGGCAGAACTCATGCTGCCTGGCCTGCCAACACCTCTACTGCTGAGCCATTCCATCATCAGTCCTGGACTCTCTCCTTTTGTTTCTATTTTATTTTATTTTGAAATAGGGTGTTATTATGTAGCCCTGGCTGACCTGAAATTTGCTATGGGGACCAGACTGGCCTCAAACCTTAAGAGAGATCCTCCTGCCTCTGCCTCCAAGTGCTGGGATCAAAGTCGTGTGGCACACTGCCTGGTGGACTTCTTGCAATGATCTTGCAGGGTGTAAGCCTAGTTGGTTGGGTTCCCATTACTTGTGGCCAGGTGCAGTCCTGACTGGTTCTCTCAGTTTCAGGGCTGGGAGCACCACAATTCTGGAGAGTTCCTCCCGTACAATAAGCAGCTCTGAGCTCTGTATCCCTTGCTCCCCAGCATTTGCCTGGCTAGCACATGTTTGAATTGCACCTTGTTTGAATTGCACGTGGAGTCAGGTTCACACCAATTACCTATTTTCAGTCTTGAGTGATTCTGTCCCATACGACAGGCAACAGGCCCTTTATGTAGCCAGTCAGAGCAAGGCTGAGGGTGTGGGCTGGCCAGGAACATCAGCTGAGAGGCTTACAGTTCAGGCCTTGCCTGTATGGTGGGGTCATGGTGAGGAGTGGCTCTTCTTGGTCCTAAACTCTCCTCCCTAAGCTGTGGTGAACTGAAGTTCCTAGAAAAAAAGCTGCCCCTGGATAAAGGTTCTACAGGGCTGACTCATTGATGAGAATGTCTGTGCTTGTAGAGAGCTGGACTGTGGGTCCCAAGCCAAATTCTCTTAGGCCAACTTTGAATCCCAACAACCACACATTGTGCAGCTGTTTGACTGACCCTCCATCCTTCTGTCAGGCGCTTTCACCCATCCAAAGAATGGTATCACATGACAGCCGAAGTTAAAGTTAAGAATATTAGCCCAGGACACCCAAAGTCTGCAGCAGAGCCTTCCCTGCTTTGTTGTGAAGCAGTGGTTCTCAACCTGTGGGTCATGACCCCTGGGGGGGTTTGAATGACCCTTTCACAGGGGTTACATGTCTGATATCTTGCTTTATGATTCATACATAACAATAGCAAAATCACAGTTACGATGTAGGAATGAAAAGAGTTTCATGGTTGGGGCTCACCACGACTTAAAGAAGCGTCCAAAAGGGTCGCAGGAAGGTTGAGAACCACTCCGAAGCCTCTACCGGATGTTCCGACCAACGTATTTTTAAATTATCTTGACTTATGACTTTATCGTGTTACTATTAAAACTTCAGGAGAGTGTTGCTACGTTAGAACACAGTGTTTGGGGAATGTAAATCTGTGTGCCTGGGCCACAGTCACCCACATTTGGTTCCAGAATAAACACTCTTATTCTGAGGTGAGAACTGTGTTTTTTATGCTAACAGTTTTTGACACCGAACATGGGATCCCAAGGATTGTTGGAGAAGTTACCTGGGTCTGCACCAGCTGCAAACACAGGCCCCTTGTGCCTGAACATTGAGTGTTGCCTTCTTGAGTGGTGCTGGTGAGTTCTTCCTGGGGCTCAGACCTCCTTTGGTGTGGTTGATGGCTGATACACACACACACACACACACACACACACACACGCTATATCATGTACACATATGTATACATACATATTTATGATATTCTTATATATGCATATCATGTGTACGTATACACACATATATCTGTTTCTATGTATGCGTGTGTATATGTGACATATATGTGTGTGTATGGAGGGTTTTGTGCATGTTTGAACACTCATGGAAGCCAGAAGAGGGTGTCAGAGCCCCTGGAGCTGGAGTCACAGCCAGCTATGAGCTAAGAAAGGGACTCCAGTCCTCTGAAAGAGGAGATGCTGGTATGCTGCGCCATCTCTCAGACCCCA